TGCACATCGCTGACCTTGCACCATTCTCTCCCTCGTTCCCTTGCTGTGCCCCTCTCAGCTGCGCAAGGAGCTGCCCTACTTCACGGTGGTGGAGAGGGATGGCCAAGCCATAGCGTGTGCAGCGCTCTTCCCCTTCCCCTCGGCGCGCATGGCGGAGGTCGCTGCCTTTGCCGTCTCGCCCGCCTCCAGAGGTCATGGGCGGGGCGACAACCTGCTGGGTAAGTGATGGGTGTGATGGGTGTGATGGGTGGGGCATGGGGATGGGTGGGGCATGGGGATGGGTGGGGGGGAACGTCGGGAAGACTCGATTTGCCGGTAAGAAAATGCAGCTCCTCCCCTTCCCCTCAGCGCGCATGGCGGAGGTTGCTGCCTTTCGCCGTCTGGCCCGCTTCTAGAGGGCACGGGCGCCGGGACGGGCCGCTTTTGCTGCCCATCACCATGCATTCCTCCATTCTTGTGCGCCTGTCCCAGCGTCTATCAGCTCCCATCGCCTGCCCTCACCCACATGCTCCTCACTGCTCCTCCTCTCCTCACCCCGCCCTCCGCTGCAGCCTGCATGGACAAGTGCGCTGTGTGCATGCTCCTATTGAGACAGACTCACAAGGAGCAATGCACCTCCACGCTGCCTCCTCCCCTCTCCTCCCCTTCCCCCCCTCTCCCCCCCGTTCCATCTGCAGCGTACCTTGAGAAGCGTGCAGTGGACATGAACATGGAGAATCTCTTCCTGGGTCGTCTTACGAACAGCCTCCTCCCGGTTTCCTCCCTTGACAACCCCTCCCCCTCCCCCTCCCCTGCAGCGTACCTGGAGAAGCGCGCAGTGGACATGGGCATGGAGAAGCTCTTGTTGACACGACTCACAAGGAGCCAGGCACCTCAATGCTGCCTCCTCCCATATCTTTCCCCCTCCCCCCCCCCCCTCCCGTGCAGCGTACCTGGAGAGGCGCGCAGTGGACATGGGCATGGAGACGCTCTTGTTGACACGACTCACAAGGAGCCATGCCCCTCAATGCTGCCTCCTCCCCTCTCCTTCCCCCCCCCCCTCCCCTGCAGCGTACCTGGAGAGGCGCGCAGTGGACATGGGCATGGAGAAGCTCTTCCTCATGACCACCCGCACTGCCGACTGGTGAGACAACGGCTCTCTCTGCACTGCATGCTTCGTCCAGCGACTACACACTAGCAGAGTTGACACTAGCTGCCCAAGTTGTCAGTTGAAAGTGGAGAGTGTCCAGCTCTCATCTCACATGCACTACCCCGTGTCTGCCTCGGGTTTGTGCATCACAGCTTTGCCCCATGCGAGCTGGAGAGGCTGCCCATGTTCACCCATCCCCCCTCCAAATCATCGTTGCCTCTCACATCCCCTGTGCCCCAGGTTTGTGCACCGCGGCTTTGCCCCGTGCGAGCTGGAGAGGTTGCCGGAGGAGAAGCTGAGGAAGGTGGATCGAAGTCGCGGGTCCAAGAGCTTTGTCAAGGACCTGGAGGTGAGCGATGAGGAGGACACGGACAGCGAGGAGGAGTGGGACGATGCCGGGCTGCCTACCGATCTCCCCAAGTATTCTTAGGCATTTTTTGCTCGGCTGATGTGGTGTAAGTTGAGGACGTCCATAAAGGCTCCTACATGAATGCTGTACTGAAGGGCAATAAGACGTTTTTTTTCAACGAAGCCACCTCGAGCACCAGTTCCACATTGTGAAAGTAGGTTGGGATAGAAAGAAGGGTGGGAATGCAAAGCACTAAGAGAACAAAACTGCTCAGTAGTAGCTTGGCGTAAGCATTATGACGAAAGGTGAATCGTTCCTCTGGTTGCAAAGCTGTTATCCTATATCGAGCGGGCTTAGTCGGACATTTGGTTGGGCCACTGGTTGGTGAAGTTGAGCGACGGGGGCATCTTCTGGAAACGTCCACCCCGCCGCGCAAGCGGTGTTGGATGGCTGCGTTTGCCGAGCCGTTTCAACAAACAATCAGGAGGACCCAATCAGAATGCGAAGAACTCCCACCTGCTGGCTCGGCGTTGATTGTCGGTCGGGCTGAAGTGGAGTGCTCCGAAGTCTAGCCAGCAAGCCTTGGGTTGTTTGTAAGATTCATCACTTCACTGCAGTATTTTCTCCCTTGACAATTCGAGTATGATAGCACTTTCTCAGCAGGATTCATGACTTTCTTCAAACCCCACTAGTTTCCTTGTAGGCAACCTATTGTGCCAGAGTGTTTTGAAAACGAATTGGGAATCTCTACCTGCGCTGGTCTGCGAAGATGGTTCGTTACTTGCGGACGAAATGTTGGCCAAGTGGCTCAACGCGAGTGGCTGTCAATGACCTGTAAGAGACGTTCAAGTCAAGGTGGCTTCTGGTGAGGCCCAGTTCCCCTTGCCGTTCATTTCATGCTTCTCTGGATCGCGGCGCACATGGTTTGGCTCCTCAAGTCGCGGCTCGATTCAAGTCGCATGACGGGGCGCAGGTTATGGTACCCCCGCAGACGAGAGGCCCGCCCCTGACCGCAATGCGTATTTTCCGCACCATCATCCAAGGGCGCCGCTTGCGGATTGAATGGGCGGAACAAAACAAGGTGATTTGACCCTGGTGGGACGCTTCCAAAAGTTTCCTCCGTAAATCATGGATGTTATTCGGAAGGGTTTTTCAATGCAGGAAAACGGGCATTTACAGCGAAGACAGTGGACCCTGCATATCCGTAACGAATTGAAGAAGCCACTTACAGACTGAATTTACTGTACAGCTGAAATCCAGTGCCGGGTTTGGTCGGTCCCCAACGGGTGAATTCGAAAAACGGCTCTGTGCCTCCCATTTTCCCCACCACTCCCATGCATGCCCCTCAACCTCCTCCGCCAAGCACATCCATCCATCGGCTATGGATCAGGGCATGGAAAAAACAGATGAACACACCCATTCATCCATCCATTGGCTCAACAGCAGCTGAAATATCCGCCGAGTAGTAATCGCGGGTCAGCAACTTTCATGTCACCCCGAGCGAGCCCCACACGGCATCAGCGGCTGCAACAAAAAACTCCGCAGTGCAGCTGATAAGTCCACCGCTTCTCAAGCTTTTGTTGCCTTTGGGAGATTCATTCCTTGGACGCCACGTGAGGTGAACGAAAAACTCCTACAGCCAACTCGTTCGCCAGCATTTCATGGTGGTGACAAGCGAGTGAAGAAATAGGCAAATAGTAGGCGAGGCACAGGCACCCTTCATCGCTACGAGCAGCATCGCCAGCAGCGTCAGATTCAGCAGAAGCAGTAGAGGCAGCAGCATGAGCAAGCTCGAGAGATTCCGTCCGCCCGCGCTTCAGTTGCCCGACGATCTCGATTCCTCCGCCGCGTCACTCTCCCGCCCCAAGAACCCGCACCCGCTCCTGCCAACCCAGCCGGATCACTCCCTCGCCAAGGTTCGATCGCCCGCCACGTCAGCCGCGTGCAACCTCAAACGCATCGTGCTGCAGCGCTGCCACGTGTGCAACCTGCTATCCATCCCGCCCTGTCGCACGTGCCACCTCTTCCTCCCGAGTTCCTTTCCCGCCAAAACCGCCGCTTCCTCCCACCCTCCACCATCGCAACCGCTACGACTCACCTCATCCTGCGGCGACGATTCCTCCCATCCAGACGACCTAAGCAGCGGCGACGGCACCGATCTTGCCACGTGGCTAGATCTCCGCAACTTGCCGTGTCGCATGATGGAGCTCGCCTTATCAAGCTACCCGTCGAATCCCCATAACTCCCTCGTTGCTGACCGCCACCGCCGCTTCGAGCCACGAGGAGGTCCGAGCGGCAAGTGCGGAAAAGATTCACTCCTCCAAGGCGCAACCGGCGAGGGAAGGCTGGGGGAGTGTCAAGCAGCGCACGGGGGAAGTCGCGCGCAGGGCGGAAGCGGAGACATTACCCCGCAGAGCGGGTGGACTGCTGCGCGCGCCGCCGCTGCTGGAAGCACTTGGGAGCTGCACTCTCTCTGGGAGTGGGCGGGGCAGATGCTGACGTGGCCGGAGAGCGCGCACGCGCAGCAGGTGCAGTATACCCGCTCGTTGCGGCACACAGTCACTGCTCCTGCTCGGCTCACCAATGCGGCCTCCAACCCTAGCCACGAGCAGAGCAGACCCCAAGAGGCTGCGTCGGGGGAAGCGGGCGGAAGAGAACCAGCAGCAGCAACTCACATGCCCCCCTCTCCCAGGCGATGCGCGGACGAATCAAAAGCGGTGGGATGTGGGGAGGAAGTGAAGGCGAGAGCGGAGGGTGCGGGATGCAGGGAGAACGGGAACGGGGACGCGACGAGCCCCATTCTGGTGTGGCTGGAAGAGGCGCGCAGCTTGTTTCTGGGGGAGGGTGATCCTTGGAGGAAGATTCCTCGAAATGGGTGGGGCAATGTCCATGCACATAACGCAGGGCATGCTGCAGTTGCGTGCGGTGCTATGAGATGCAGGACAAGCGTTCCGGTGAATGGGCGCACGGCACACGTGCAGTGATGCTAATGGAGGGAGGGAGTATTCCGGAGCGAGATTTTTGTTGGGTTGAGGGGGGGTATGCATAAGCGGGGAGGAGGATGCAACTGGGAACACATACCATGCACACGCAGCTGTATGGTTGTTCTGATGAACAAGTAGAGGAGTCAAGTGGTTGGTGAAAGGACTTGGATTTGCAAGCGTAGAAGGGCACGAGAATGTGTCTTGGTAGGAGTATTTTTGGATAAGCAGGTCATATGCCATAGGTGTTTGTGAAAACATCACATTCCATGTATTTTCCTGTCAATATTAGTCCAATCTAGTTGGAAATATGCACTTATTCATTTCAAGAAGGGTGGTTTTCATCTCATGCCAACTAATGCATGAACATTTGCGTGTGAAAGCATCCATACAGAACACTCATCTAAACATTCAAAATTCCCAAACGCGTCCAGCAGCTACAGTGCAGACTACTGTACCGCGCATCCCTGAGATCTCCCCCTTCGCGGCTTCGCCGACCTTGCCGCTCAGTTTTCTCTTCTTCACCATCAGTCACGCGGATTCACCTCACAAATCTCTAGGCCTGCTGTGCCAGTGAAGAGCTCACCCCGATCTCAGCTTTCCTGATACGGGTTCTAATTCCTTCGTAATTTCGGACGGATCCAGGCCTTGATCGGCGCCCGGTTTGCTTTCGTAGGAGCCGCGATGGCGTTAGCGTTCGACGAGTTCGGGCGGCCGTTCATAATCATACGCGAGCAGGAGACCAAGTCGCGCGTGAAGGGCCTGGCGGCGCAGAAGGCGAACATCCTCGCCGCCAAGTCCGTCGCGAAGATCCTCCGCAGCTCGCTCGGGCCCAAGGGGATGGACAAGATGCTCCAGAGCGGCGACGGCGACGTCACTATAAGTACGCAAACGCGCAGCAGTATTCGACACGAAGCCATAGCAGGCTGCTCGTAGATCTTGGATCTGAACTCGTGAAGCCGAGGCATTGTACAGGGCTTAGGAAACTGCTGTGCAGATTCTTTTTTGCTGCGTTCTGCGATCTCCGCAACCCAAGCGTAGATTTCCTCGCTTAGTCAAACCAGATCTGCATTCCTGAAGCCGATCGGAACCTTCCTGGTTATTTAGCAGCCGATGGACCTTTCTGATGCAGGATTTTCTCTCTCCCTTGCTTTCTCTCAGCACAGTGTGACTGGCATCAGCCGGAAACAACTATTCCAGTACAAGCGTTTCGCCCACACGTTTTTTCGGCTCTCCTTCCCGATTCATCACCGCCGTTTCCCTTCCCCTCCAAATCCTCCGTCCCTCTGAATCCCCCACTCTCAGCCAACGACTTCGCGACGATCCTGGAGCAGATTCCCGTTGTGACTTTTGAGTCGACTCAAAAGTCACCTCGTTTCCCTTCCCCTCCAAACCCTCCGTCCCTCTGAATCCCCCACTCTCAGCCAACGACGGCGCGACGATCCTGGAGCAGATGGAGGTGGAGAACCGCGTGGCGCGGCTGATGGTCACGAGCCGGGTCTCAAGCCCCGGGTAACCCGATCCCTTCCCAATCGCCCGTGCTTCCACTTCTCCCATCCCTCTGAATCCATCTCGCCAGCCAACGACGGCGCGACGATTCTGGAGCAGATGGGTGTGGAGAAGCGCGATAGGGGGCTTCCTCAAGAGGCGCCGCTTAACGCCACCCCTCTTCCCTTTCCCGTGCCTCCAAACCTCACCCCTCCCCCTTCTCCCAGCGAACGACGGCGCGACGATCCTGGAGCAGATGGAGGTGGAGAACCGTGTTGGGCGGCTGATGGTGGACCTGTCCAAGAGCCAGGACTTCGAGATCGGCGACGGCACCACGGGGGTTGTCGTCACCGCGGGGGCTCTTCTCGAGCAGGTGCGTGTTAGATGTGGTGCTCCCGGTGACTTCACGCCCATTCAAGTCACCTTGTCAAGAGCCTGGACCTACACCTTGAGACCTTGACCTTGAGATCGGCGACAGCACCACTAGGGTCGTCATCACCGCGGGTGCTCTTCTTGAACAGGTGCGTGTTTCTTTGATGCTCCAAGTAGCTTGCATGCCCATTCGAGTCACCTCGTCAAGAGCCAGGACCTCGAGATCGGCGACGGCACCGCTGGGGTCGTTGTCAAGCGCTGCTCGCGCAGGTGTGTGCGAGTCCGTCGAAGGTCTTGCTTTTGTTCTCATCGCTTCTCCCGGTTGACTTGCCTTCAGATCTCTTATTCCGACAGCGTAGGCGCTCTTCTTCTCGAAAAGCGTGAGAATTCGAATTGCGATTAAGAGAAAACCAGTCTGCCACACCGGGTCCTGCTCCTTCCAACTTCGCCAATCCCTTCTCGCACCTGTGATTTCAAATCACGTCTATCTCGTCACTCATACGCGGAGCCCCTCCTCTCCTCCTCCGCGCCATTCACCATATCCGTGCCTGGCGGATATGGCGTCCAGGAGGGCAGCGGCGCATCCCGTTCTTTTTTTCTCTCCTCCCTCCTTGCCCCGTCAACCCACCCCCTTGCAACCGCCCACACCCACCCAATCCCTTCTCCTTCCCCTATCACTCGCAGTCCGAGGCCGTTCTCGATCGCGGGATCTTCGCGGGGAGGGAGGGGATGCGGCGGCGATCGTAGAGATAGCGTTTAAGATCGCGGCGCTGCATACCCCTCTGTACTCAAACCCCAACCCTCCTCCCCGACCCCCCCCCGCCCCCCACCTCCCGTCTTCCTCAGAGGCCGAGGCCCTCCTCGATCGCGGCATCCACCCCATCCGCGTGGCGGAAGGCTCCGAGATGGCGTCTAAGATCGCGGCAGCGCATGCCCTTCTCGTTCGTCTGCCGTCTCTACCCAACCCCCAACCCTCCTCCCCAAACCCCAACCCTCCTCCCCAAATCACAACCCCCCCCTCACTTCTTCCTCACAGGCAGAGGCGTTGCTGGGCTGCGGCATCCACCCGATCCGCGTGGCGGAGGGGTACGAGATGGCGTCCAAGATCGCCTTGGCGCAGCTCTGAGTCCCTCTGGCCCCGGGGTGCCCTCTCACCCCACCCCCTTTCCAACCCACTTCTCGTTCTCCTCTCGCTCACAGGCCGAGTCATTGTTGGACCGCGGCATCCACCCGATCCGCGTGGCGGAGGGGTACGAGATGGCGTCCAAGATCGCGGCGGCGCATCTGGACGCCATCGCCGAGACGTTTGAGTTCTCGAGGGACAACTTCGAGCCGCTCGTCGAGACGTGCATGACGACGCTCTCGTCCAAGATGTGAGTGCGCGCCTGTAGCGAGTGTGCTTCTAACGAGATGACATTTGAGTCGACTCAAAAGTCGCTCGTGGAGACGTGCATGACGACGCTCTCGTCCAAGATGTGAGTGCGCGCTTGTAGCGAGTGTGCTTCTAACGAGTGTTGACCACGCTCTCGTCCAAGATGTGAGTGCGCGCTTGTAGCGAGTGTGCTTCTAACGAGTGTTGACCACGCTCTCGTCCAAGATGTGAGTGCGCGCTTGTAGCGAGTGTGCTTCTAACGAGTGTTGACCACGCTCTCGTCCAAGATGTGAGTGCGCGCTTGTAGCGAGTGTGCTTCTAACGAGTGTTGTCCACGCTCTCCTTCAGATATCAGTGTGCGCTTGTAACGGGTGTGCCATAACCGAACGGAGGACGTTCGTCGTGATAATGACGATGCTGTCGGGCACAGTCGCATCATCAGCGAGGGGAGGTTGGAACTCGCAGGGTCGCTCGTGGCCGCTGGCTCACATTCGTGCCCCGTGAGTGGACATCGGCACGGGGGCGGAGGACGTTTTAGAGTCGGAGCCTAAGATGATCCTTTACCCGTTCTTCTCCAAGCACCCCTTCTTGACTTTTGAGTCGACTCAAAAGTAGCTCTCCCACGCCCTTCCAGTTGTATTTTGAGTCGACTCAAAATACAACTTGAGTCGACTCAAAAGTAGCTCTCCCACGCCCTTCCAGTTGTATTTTGAGTCGACTCAAAATACAACTTGAGTCGACTCAAAAGTAGCTCTCCCACGCCCTTCCAGTTGTATTTTGAGTCGACTCAAAATACAACTTGAGTCGACTCAAAAGTAGCTCTCCCACGCCCTTCCAGTTGTATTTTGAGTCGACTCAAAATACAACTTGAGTCGACTCAAAAGTAGCTCTCCCACGCCCTTCCAGTTGTATTTTGAGTCGACTCAAAATACAACTTGAGTCGACTCAAAAGTAGCTCTCCCACGCCCTTCCAGTTGTATTTTGAGTCGACTCAAAATACAACTTGAGTCGACTCAAAAGTAGCTCTCCCACGCCCTTCCAGTTGTATTTTGAGTCGACTCAAAATACAACTTGAGTCGACTCAAAAGTAGCTCTCCCACGCCCTTCCAGTTGTATTTTGAGTCGACTCAAAATACAACTTGAGTCGACTCAAAAGTAGCTCTCCCACGCCCTTCCAGTTGTATTTTGAGTCGACTCAAAATACAACTTGAGTCGACTCAAAAGTAGCTCTCCCACGCCCTTCCAGTTGTATTTTGAGTCGACTCAAAATACAACTTGAGTCGACTCAAAAGTAGCTCTCCCACGCCCTTCCAGTTGTATTTTGAGTCGACTCAAAATACAACTTGAGTCGACTCAAAAGTAGCTCTCCCACGCCCTTCCGTTCCTTGCCACGATCTCGCTTCCTCACCCAGTGTTGAACGCTGCAAGCGTTCCAAGTCCGCTTCTGCCAGGACGGCCTGAACCTGGAGCTGATCAAGGTGGAGGGCAAGACGGGCGGGCGGCTGGAGCGTCGCCCCTCATCCACTCCCTTTATCCCCCCCCCCTCCCTCCAACCCGCTTTCTCACTGTCTGCCTTTCCTCGCCACGCTGTCTCTTCCATCTCCCGCGTCCCCTGCTGCAGTGTGGGGCGCTGCAAGCGGCAGATGGCAGAAATCGCAGTGCAGGCGGTCCTCGCAGTGGCGGACTTGGAGCGGCGCGACGTGAACCTGGAGCTGATCAAGGTGGAGGGCAAGACGGGCGGGCGGCTGGAGGAGACCGAGCTCGTCCGAGGCATCATCGTGGACAAGGACTTCAGCCACCCGCAGATGCCGAAAAGGATCGAAAATGCCAAGATCGCGATCCTGACGTGCCCGTTTGAGCCGCCCAAGCCCAAGACTAAGCATAAGGTTGATATTGACACGGTGGAGAAGTACCAGCGGCTGCAGGAGTCGGAGCGGAAGTACTTCGACGATATGGTGCAGCAGTGCAAGGTGAGAGCAGGGGGGGGTGTGTTGGCGGGGACGACTGAGAGGGGAAGGGAGGGGGCAGGTAAGGGAGGGTTGGGAGAAGTACCAGCGGGTGCAGGAGTCCGAGCTCAAGTACTTTGACGATATGGTGCAGCAGTGCCCGGTGCAAGGGGCAGCAGTGCAAGGTGCGAGGGGCAGCAGTGCAAGGTGCGAGGGGCAGCAGTGCAAGGTGCGAGGGGCAGCAGTGCAAGGTGCGAGGGGGGGGGGGAATCTCTGCTCACCCCGAATGTCTGCTCACCCCGAATGTCTGCTCACCCCGAATCTCTGCTCACCCCGAGTCTCTGCTCACCCCGAGTCTCTGTACAACAGGACGCAGGAGCGACCCTGGTGATCTGCCAGTGGGGATTCGATGACGAGGCCAACCATCTGCTCATGCACCGCGGGCTGCCGGCCGTGCGCTGGGTGGGCGGCGTGGAGCTGGAGCTGATCGCCATCGCCACTGGTGAGAATGCTTGCTTCTGTGCACAGTGGCAGTAGCGTGTTACTTGTGTAGAATTGGTCGCTTTTGCACCGGGGCCTGCCTGCCGTGCGGCGTGTGCTGGGTTGGGGGCGTAGAGCTGGAGCTCAGCGCCGTCGCCAGCGGTGAGTGCGCTCGCCATTGCTACCATTTACTTGTGGGGCTGATTGTTTGCTGCTCGCACCTATCAATCAAGGGCTGTCAGCACACCGATGCTTCCCTGGCACTAGCCTCTCATGCACCAAGGGCTCTCCCCTAGCCGTCCGCCAACTCTCTCTCTCTCTCTCTCCCTCGCTGTTCTTGCCCCACTTTCCCTTCCTTGGCCGCGGCTCTTGTCCCGCTATCCGTGCGTGCAGGCGGCCGCATCGTGCCTCGATTCCAGGAGCTCACCCCCGAGAAGCTCGGCAAGGTGAGGCATGCGGGGGGGGGGGGGGGTGGGCGGTGTGAGGAGAGGCGGGTTTACTCCCAGGAGCTAACTCCCGAGAAGGTGGGCAAGGTAAGGTAAGCGGCGGGGGAGAGGGGGGGGGGTGGGATGTTTGGGTCCTGGGGCAGCGCAGGGAACTGGATGGGGGGGTTACTCCCAGGAGCTCACACCCGAGAAGCTGGACAAGGTGGGGCATGGGAGGTGGTGCCCGCAGGAGGGTTGGGGGGGAGGGGAAGGGGGGGGAGACTGCATGGGGGGGGGGGTACTGTCAGGAGCTCACACTGGAGAAGCTGGGCAAGGTGAGGCATGCGGTGGGGGGGGGATGAGGGGTGGGGAGGGGCGGGGGTTTCTCCCAGGAGCTCACAACCGAGAAGCTGGGCAAGGTGAGCATGGAAGGAAGACAGGAGGGAAGTTGAGCGGGGGGGGGAGGAGGGGATAGTGAGCAGAGCAGTGGCGATGGCGTGTGGAGTCAGGAATGAGGTTAATGGGTTCACCTGCTGGCAGAGTCCTGCTGCTGGCACGGCTTCAGGGTTTGGGGTTTCCCTGCCATCTTGCCCTCTTGAACTTGGGTCTTCTCTTGTTGCAGAAGGCCGTGTGACACGACCATGGCTGAACGGCCTCTGTTGCCTGCCTCTCCTCTCCTCTTGCTTCATACTCTTCTTTCTCCATGGTTGCGTGCCGGAGAAGGCCTTTGGCACAGCCAAGCACACACTGCTGCATATGGAGTGGTGCGCCAACTCATCCTCCCAGTGCCCCTCTGTGTGCCTTGATCCCGTCCTTGCTACTCCCTCATCCAGGCTGGAGTGGTGTGGGAGAAGGCCTTTGCCACTGCCTGCGCTTGAGTCGACCAGTCACTGCGTCCTCTGCCCCTCTGTGTGCGGCAATCCGTCCGTTGCTATTCCCCCCATTCCACGCCGGAGTGGTGCGGGAGAAGGCGCTTGGCACGACCAAGGACCGCATGTGCACATCAAGGGGTTGCCATCGTACCATGCCCCCACTGCTGTGTGCTTCCACTGCTCCCTCGCCAGTCCTCTATTCCACGCCGGAGTGGTGCAGGAGAAGGCGTTCGGCACGACCAAGGATTGCATGCTGCACATCAAGGGGTGCGCCATCTCATGCTGCTGTTTTTGAGTCGACTCAACGCCGACTCGTTGCTTCCTCTGCCCCTCCGTGTCCTGCAACCCCTTGCTATCCCCCCCTCCAGGCCGGAGTGGTGCGGGAGAAGGCGTTCGGCACGACCAAGGACCGCATGCTGTACATCGAGGGGTGCGCCAACTCACGTGCGGTCACCATCTTCATCCGCGGAGGTATGCAGAACGGTGGTGGGGTATGCACAGAGGTGGTGGGACATGGTCTCTGCACGACGCTGTGTCCTTCTCTCTCTCCTCTCCTTTTCCCCTCATGCCTCCCATCTGCCCTTCTTGCCTCTCCTGCCCCTCCTGCCCCTCCTGCCCCTCCTGCCCCTCCTGCAGGCAGCAAGATGATGGTGGAGGAGACCAAGCGCAGTCTGCACGACGCGCTCTGTGTGGCGCGCAACCTCATTCGCGACAACCACATTGTGTACGGCGGGGGCTCAGCGGAGCTCACATGCTCACTGGCTGTTGAAGCTGCTGCTGACAAGGTCCCGGGGGTGGAGCAGGTGAGGCGCTTGCTAGTGTGAGGCGCATCAAACGCAAGCCGCGATTTGAAAACTCCATTGTCTTTGTGGCGGTGTTTGCTGAGAGCACCTGCTCGCTGGCTGTTGAAGCTGCTGCTGACAAGGTCCCGGGGGTGGAGCAGGTGAGGCGCTTGCTAGTGTGAGGCGCATCAAACGCAAGCCGCCATTTGAAAACTCCATTGTCTATGTGGCGGTGTTTGCTGAGCGCATCTGCTCGCTGGCTGTTGAAGTTGCTGTTGGCAATTTTTGAGGCGCCTCAAAAATCGCTAGCTGTTGAAGCTGCTGTTGGCAATTTTTGAGGCGCCTCAAAAATCGCTGGCTGTTGGAGCTGCTGTTGGCAATTTTTGAGGCGCCTAAAAAATCGCTGGCTGTTGAAGCTGCTGTTGGCAATTATTGAGGCGCCTCAAAAATCGCTGGCTGTTGAAGCTGCTGTTGGCAATTTTTGAGGCGCCTCAAAAATCGCGGGCTGTTGAAGCTGCTGTTGGCAAGGTCCCACGGGTGGAGCAGGGGAGGTGCTTGCTCACTGTGAGGCGTTCGCAGAGATGCTAGAGGCCGACGGCAGGCCTTTCGTTCAAAGGTGAAAGCCTTCCCTCACCCCCTCTGCCTGCACTCTCCCCCTGCGCCCCTGTGCCCTCTCTCCGCCCCCCCCTTCCCCCCCCCTTCCCTTCCCACTCCCCCCCCCACCCCCCAGTACGCCATGAGGGCATTCGCTGAGGCGCTAGAGGTGGTGCCCATGGCACTCGCAGAGAATAGCGGGCTGCCGCCCATCGACACTGTCTCCAGCATCAAGGCGCAGCAAGTCAAGGTATGATTTCTGTCTCCTCCACACTCCGCCCCACCGATGTCTTGGTTTCGTTGCACTCTGCTATATTGTTGCTATGTCTTTGTGTTGGTTGTGTGCTGTTTCGGCTGTCGAGACTCCACAATTCTTGGTAACCACTGCTTCATGGTAGTTATACTGTTGCCAATTTACTCTCATTCTGTGTTTCCACTATCCGTTGGCCTTCTCTAGGAGAACTGCCCATACTTGGGAGTGGATTGCATGGATGCGGGCACGAATGACATGCGCAAGCAGAAGGTCTTTGAGACACTGATTGGCAAGAAGCAACAGCTGTTGCTCGCCACACAGGTTGTGAAGATGATTCTCAAGATAGATGATGTCATCTCGCCTTCTCAATATGAGTGACCTGCACCAATAATTAGGAGAGATTAGAGGTTTACTGAAGTGATATTTTGTTTGACATAGTTTTTAGTTGAACAACAGGTATACTGCAATAGCCTGAACCGTGTGTCACGTACCGGTATCGAAGAGACGACTATCCGTACGACGCAGGGATGCAGGCAGACGGACACCGTTATTTGAATCGAGTTGTTTTGGCGGCGGTTGTCGAGTCGGTTTGCATTATGCCGGACTTTTGTCGGCTCTGCCTGTTCTGGTCCATTCGGTTCGGCCCTCGTTCATTTTCGCCTTGAGCCAGAGCCATCGAGCTCCACGTCAATTCCTATCGCCTCACCTTCATCGGGCCATGCTCCATCCAAATACAGTTCGGCACTGTACTGTCGAACTGACGGAGTGACCAATGGGAAGCAACTTTTGCGGGGTACACCTGACATGCGTGAGCGTCGCACATGGTAGCCTTTTACATGGCGACGAAGGTAACCAATACGATCGCACCATGTATCGTCGTTGGGGCGGTTGCGGGTTCTGGCAGTCGCAGCAATGTGCTCATTGCTCGAAACGGAACATCCTGCTACTGTTCATCTGCTTTGGGCCTGCGGTGGGTAGCTCTGCGCGTGAAATCCCTGCATCTTTGCTGGCCTGGACGGGCTACCTTGTTAGGAAGCCAGGCAGTCGCCCTGGTCGCACACCAATCCACCTCATCCACGAGAAGAATTGTTAGCGTGCGTCCAGCTTGGAGACGCACGCGACAACGTGGACTCGCAGTGATTGGAGCAGGCGACGAATCGCGACGCTCTCAATGCCAACTTCCGAGAACAGGAATCCCCAGCGACGTCGCACCAGCTGCTGGTTGACGTCGTCGAACGTCGTAGGAAGGTGGGAAGAAGTGTCGGTGGGAAGTCGATCCACTTCCCTCCCACAGTTCGGTTGCTCGCCTGACGACACAGTTCCATCGCCTCGTCTCGTTTGCCCTCGCTTCCCTTTCCTTGGCGTTCAAGCGACGGGGAGATGATAAGGACGACCGTGGTGCGACTCAACTCAGCTCAGCAGCATTTTATCCAGGTCTCGCAGCCATCGCTTGCTCATCCCATACACCGTCTTTCTACTCAGGACCTTTCTCCCTCAGTCATCAGCACCAAATAGCCTGAACTCCTCTGCTTAACCACAATAGGCGCTAATTACAGCAAGATTTCCAGCCTCTTCATTCTCGCTCGCCCCAGCTTCGCTTTTCTTCACGTTCTCTTCTAGATGGATCGGAGATTGGACTCCACGCCGTCTCTCAAGGGGTGGGCTGACCCCATGTTCTCCGCTCCTCCCGCAACACCGTCGCCGAAAGAAGCCGGCGCGCAGAAGCGTTTGAGGACTCGCGACCTCCCTGGCTCGCCCTGCGCTTCCCTCGCTCGGCGCGCAGCGTCTTCCCCAATGCGCAACGCCAAGCGTGCACAAGAGAGCGCCTCCAGCGGTGGCGCCAAGCGCATGCCCACCCTCCGCGTTCTCCGCCACAACTCCCTTCCTGCGCCCTCCGACATTGATCTCCCCGCGGCCCTCGAACTCCCCGCGCCCGCCATCCCGACGTTCTCCACCCCTTCCCCGTACCATGCGGCAACATTCGAGTCGCAGCGACCGCGTCACGTGCGACGATGCTCCGTCAGCCGCTGTGCGATGCCCAGCGACGCAGCGTTAGACGCGCTCGACTCGTTCCTCCTCCCGCCTCCAGCTCTTCCGCTTTCCGCCTTCGTTCCGCCTTCCCCGCCCCTCTCCGCCTACCGCGCAACGCCCGTTACAACGAGGACTGGCGGAGAGGAGAGGGAGCAAACCGGCGCTTGCGTGAAGGATACGCCAGCCGCTACTCGCAGATCGCTGCTTGACCTGGGGACCAATCAGAGAACGACACATAGCCCTCGGAAAAGCGATCCCATGTTTGAGATCCGCCAACGAAGCAGCTGCCTCTCCCCCACTGCGCGGACCACCGGGAATGTCACTCTCGCCGGTTGTAGCACGGCAACCAGCGGGGCTCCTGTTGCGACATGGCAGCTTCCCAGGCGCGTGAATGGTTCTCGCATGTGCTCCCCGATCCGCGCTCCCCGTCGGATGGTTCTGCTTAGCTCTGCTACTTGACGCTGACGGTTTTCTTATTTCTCGTAGCTTGACAGGTGGTTGTTGATTGACTCGGGTCTTAGTTGCCTTGTGTTTTTGTAGATTGGATGGTGCTGGTTGCAGGAGTGTGTGCATCATCCGGCAAGCCAATGCTGGATGATGTACTGCACTCTCACGCCTACATTATTGCTAACTGCGATGCGTTAGCTGTGTAAATGATTATATATTGATGAAGTGGTACATCACTTACCCACTTGCTCTTTGCTAGACACTCCATAGTGATAATGAGTAGGTAACAAACGGCTATTGAATATGGTGTTATCGGACTTATAATGTACTGGAAAGAATGTTCTAATGCTGAATTTGACCAGCCTGATAAGGAATTACGATAAATCTCCTGCAAGCCAAAACACCTAGCCCGGGGTAATTTCACACCCAGTATTCTTACAGGATGTGCCGCCGAGGGGGTACTCACCCCCCCGAAAGCAGCTCCTGAATACCAGATCCGGATACCCTTGAAAAACAAATTGAGCTTGGATCTCTATACGAAACGTTTCCTGCTCGATTTAGAGTTTTTCGAGTCTGGAAACCCGCCATAAGTGTAGGCAGTGCTGAAAGGTTTTGTCCGCGTGGAGTCTGCCACGCTTAGGCCGTAGGTACAAGGCCGTAGTACAGTCTACGAACTCAGAAATGGTCAGGGTGGAAACAAAAATTATGCTGCCGCCCAATTTCAGGGCGTAAGATTACCGCGAGCTAGGTGTAATCGATCACCGACCAAAGAAGGCTGGCAGGAGCTTGACGGGTTTCTGGCAAATGCTAGGGCATGCAGTGCTGCAGGAACACCTCAGCATGGGCACGTACGTGACATGATTCTGTTGTCTCGACTCGAGTCCCTCGACCTGACCAGCCCAGAGACCATCCACGAATCTGAACTTGGGGCAGGCTGAGATAATGTCGGTGGAGGTGCTGCATCTTTCAATACACTTTACCGAAACAGGTCATCCTTAATTAGATCAGGATGGGTGTGAAAGAGCTGTACAGGCTTTAGCAGAGCAGTGAGAACTGCTTTCCCTCCCAGAACCAAAATCGAAGTCAAATGCTATCGGAATCAAGGGCTCTCTTTCCGTCCTACGGTTCTTCCTTCCACCCCCTCATATTCCCCCACCATAAAAAAAACTCCCGCCCTGGCTTGCATGCTACAGCGGGTATGCTCTATGCTCCAAATCCGCGACTCGCAAATATGGACTACGGCGAATAGGAGCGGTTCACAACGGGCAAAATGGATAATCTAGTAGCACTAATGGTTTTAGGTGGGGTGGCGTAGGCCGTTTTACTCTTTTTGTTCACGATGAGTGCCTTGGCGTATTCGCCAATGGGCCATATTACCAGCGATTTCGCCGCGTGTCATGTAAGGGCTCATGTGGCTTCTTTAAAAACACTCAGCGAATTTGTGGGTCTGGTCAGAATTATCGCGGACAAAAGAAGTAACCCCTTGTTCTCGACCTGCCCGCAAGCAGCGCAGGCTCAAAACGCGCAAATCAAATAATTTGGAAAACCCTCTTCGTGGTCTCACAAAAAGGGCTTAACGGAACGAAATTTTGACGACTGAATTGAGCGGTTTCGTTAACCAGTCACACGTTTTATCGACTGGAAAAAAACCCTTGAGAAAAACCCTTTTCGAGATGTGCAGTTGTTAATGGTGATTGAGGGACCGTGGGTCATGTTTTCGTATTCGTGACGGACCTGTTCGTGTCACGCGGAAAGTCTGAATATGAACGTGATTGGTTCTAAAATATGGAAAATGCCTCGAATGCTCTTGACTCGAGGATTAGAATAGGGCCGTAATAATAAGACAAAATGGATGAAAAGGGGGTACGGATTCATGCCCATGTCAGCGCACATGCAAAAGTGACAAGTGGACGGGAGTATGTGATTTTGTGTTCGCCCCCCCGGTCCGTCGTGCTTACGTCGGATCGCCCTAGCAAGCGCGTATTGGCCGGGCAATTCCAAGCACAATTCACGGGGAATTTCCGAGCTCGCACTCGCGGGTTGGTAGGCGACGCTCGCAGACTGCGATCGCACCCGATTCGGGTGGCGCGAATCGATGGTCGGTGGAATTATGCGACTGTCGTGATTGGTCACTATGTTCTTTTGCGTTTTTTAAACGAAGTCTAACAGTAGATGTATACCATACCGACGGAGTACATCGTGGTGGATCTTATCAAATTCTGGACCTTGGAGTATTATATGGAGTAAAATGTCACGGACCTAATGGCATACCCGCTGTACCCCTTAACGGCAAAATCATGCAGCCCTTCTTCTCCCCCTCTTCCCCCTCCCCCTCCCCTAAAACCCTTCCCCCACCCCCACACACTCTCTCCCCCCCCCCCCCCCACCTCCACACCCTCCCCCAAGACCCGGTCCCCACACCACCACCCCCTCCAACCCTCCCCTCTTCCCTGTAGAGTAGACCTCCCTCCCCCTAGGGCCTCCCCTCCCCATGCACCTCCCTTCCCTTCCCCCCCGTGTCCCCGTGACAGACAGACGCACCAGATTCTATCAGGAAGAAATCGCACCGTCGCCACTCAGTTTTCACTCGAATATAATCGTCGGGGATCTGAACCCGACTCCTGATTTCCGCTCCCACTCCAGCTGTCTTCTCTCTGTCCATTGGGAGCTAACCAACCGCCATTGCAGATTCTATCTTTTCGCCGAAAGGCTAGCTCGGATACATTTATAAGGCCGCGGAGCGCGTTTCTGGGGACCGTGGTTAGCGGCCTTCGTGGAAACCGCGAGTTCTTGGACGTCCAATCAGGAAGTTAGGAATCACGGAACAGCCCACGTGATGGGTTCAACTATTGGCTGGAATGCCGTTCGCGCATTGGCTGACACATCTCGGTCGGCATTCATTCCCAAATGCCTTCCTGTCACCGTGGCGGCATTTCGATTCCAACAGCGATGGCTGACAGCTCACGACTCACGACTAATGACTCACGGGACGATCGTCGTACAATACACGTATCAGTGCTCATCCGCCTGCACTTGCTCGCCTTCGTTTCCGAATAAGCGACGCACATTACCAGGCCATATTTGGTCAGAACAGCGCTGGGCTTCGCGCATCGCGTCGCGAACTGCGAATGGCTGGCAAATGCTGGGCGTCGTCCCGGCCAGAAATCGAGAGAGGTAGATCGGCGGTCCTGAGCAACGCCCTCGAGCAACGTCCCAACTGGTAGGTCACGAAACTGATTGTCCCCATCGCAGTCAGCAGTCCATTTCGTGACCTCCGCTTCGAATCCAAGCATTCACAGGCGTGTGCCCCGCTCACGCTCAACCCAGAGCTCTCTATTCATCTCTCGTCGCGGTTCACCCTTATCACTGCTCCGTTACCTGCTCCGTCGCCTCCCCTAGCCGTCCTTGTATTCACTCCACCGGCGCAACCAGCGGAGCAACGGAGCCTCCCCTTGCCGTGCAGCCGTCTCCGCCGTCTCCAGCAGTGCTGCCCAGGCCCCGCCGGGGTTCAGCGTGAGTCAGGCCGGTTTAGCGGCGGTTGCCGGCTGCCGCTGCTCATGGCGGCCCATCATCCCCCTGATAATGATTATCTTCGCGCGGCGGTCCCCGCCAACCCACCGCCCCCCGACCCTCCGGATGTCCCGCCGCGCGGTCTGCGCGTCCGCCACGGCGGCAATGTAGGCGCGTCCCTTCCCCGCAGCAATGCGCACGTCGGGGAGAGGCGCGCCGCGGGACACGTCGCGGCCAGGAGCGACGCGGCTGTCCCGCACGACTCGTGCGGCGGAGCGACACACGAGGCTTACGAGTCTCTCTTCGGGCGCGGCGCCGCGTCGAGCTCTGCGCGCGGGGTCGCGGGAGACGCGGAACGAATCCCTGTCGTTGCGCGCGGAACCGTTGCCGATTCTGGCGCATTCGCCGCGCCTACTGCCGCCCAGCGGCAGTGGCGGGAGGCGCGGAAGCGGCCGTGGGAGTCATTGTCGGCGGGACAGCCGCGCCTTGGCCTGAGGGAGGCGCCTATTGGACAGCGCGGCGTGAATGACGCGCCTGGAGGGGATTCTCGGCGCGGCGCGCTGCGGGCTTGCGCTAGTTTCCCGAGCTCGGCGGAGCTAGTGGCGCGGAGCTGGAACGGAGATGCTCTGGCGGAAGCTGTGGGTGCTTGGGTTGGCGCAGGGGAAGGAAGCGGAGGGAGCGGGGGAAGCGGGGGGAGCAGGGGAAGGGCGGGAAGGGGGGGAAGTTGGCCGCATTTCTCTGGGAGAAACGGGGAGCATGGCGCTGGTGGGAGGGTGTGGGACTCGAAGTCTGTCTTAACGTGCCATGACTGGATTGGCTCGCGAGGCTGGCAGCAGCAGCAGCAGCAACAGCAGCAGCAGGAGCAGCAGCAGCAGCGGGGCGTGCATGCACACGCGGAGGGGATTGCGCCACAGCAGATTCTTGAAACCCCTCCAACGGCATGCAGCGGGCGCATCAACCTCGCGCCCCTCCCTGCTGCTAACTTCCAGCCGGGCTGCCTTGCAGCAATCCCTGTATATACAGCGGCAGCCCCTGCTGCTCCTCCCTTCACTGCAGCCCCTGCTGCTCCTCCCTTCACTGCAGCCCCTGCTGCTGTCGTCCCCCCTGCAGCCCCTGCTGCCGTCGCCCCTCTCGCCTCTTTCTCTATGAGCACAAGCCCTCTGTGCACCTCGGCTGCCGCTCCCCCCCATACTGTCACACCTCCCAGCAACGGTCCGCCTGTCACTCTCTCTAGTGTCACTTCTCATGGAAGAGACCCGAAGTCAGCGAGAGACCCAGCTTATAACTCTCTGGATCTGTCCCTGCGCCTGGGACTGAGCACCGACCCTCTTGAGAAGGACCCTCAGCACAGCGGAGGGGGGGGGGATGCTGAAGGCAGTGTGCATGGCTCGGCAGAGCCCAAGGGGGTGTTGCCAGGAGAGGGGGAAGACATGCAGGGCAATGGGGGTTACGGCTCGTGTGACATGGCATCCAATAAGCCACTGGAGCCGCGCGTTGCAGCGCCGCACACCCCGTCCCGCCTCAAGGCTGTCGGGCCCCTGGAGTCGTGCCTGGAACTGCCTTATACCTCTCATGCCTCTCATGCCTCTCATGCCTCACACGCTTCTCATGACTTAAAGCCCAATGAAGTGTTGCCGCTCGGTGTACAGCCCTCTGCTGCTGGTGGTGGAGGGTCAGTTTGGGAGAGGGCGGGAGAGGTGAGTGAGAAGGGGTGCTGGCAGGAAGCAGATGGCAGTGAGAGGGAGGGAGTGAGAAGGTGGGTGAGAGAGGGGGAGGGAGGGGTGAGTGAGGTTTACACTCTGGTGCAGGATAGTATCTGGGAGTGTAATTCTGCTGCTGCTGGTGGCACAGGGGGTGCGGGCTCCTACTACGGCAGAAGCGGCGGCGGCAGCAGCAGCAGGAGTGTGTATGAGCAGCATGCGCTGCTGTACAAAGTGAACCTAGAAAGGCACATGAGGGGCGAGGGGCTTTGAGACCTCGTCCGGTCGAGTTTTAAGATGTCTCAAAGCAGGAGTGTGTATGAGCAGAATGCGCTGCTGTACAAAGTGAACTTTGACAGGCACATGAGGGGCGAGGGGCGGGCGGCAAATTCGGCAGAGCGGGAGTGAGTGGTGTCCATGGCCTTGCGCTGCCATTGCTCTGCACGGGCTTGCCCTGCTTGCGTTTCCTGGCACCAGCACACATCTGGTGGTTCAATCAGCTTCCCAAGGGTGACCAGTGGTCCCAGGGGGCATGTGTACCAGCTGGCTCTTGCGCCTTGACTGTATGTCACTGCCTGCTTGTACATAGTAGTAGTAGCAGTAGTTGTAGTAGTAGTAGTACCAGTAGTAGTATGGCTCTTTTTATACCCAGTAGGTGTGATCTTCGCCATCCCGAGCATGTGCTTCAGTGCAGTATGTCCTTCATGGTGGGTACGAGGTAGCTGCTGTACAAGCGTGAGGAGAGTTGGTTCCTACATCAACTGGTATGTCTCGGCTAGGACGCGAGAGCACCAGACCAGGGAGCAGGTTGAGGGAATGGAGCGCAAATGGCAGCTCTTCGTCTATTGCCAATGTTGTTACACCCCCAACCCAACCCAACCCACCCTGACCCAAGGCAACTAGCTACGGTACCACAATGCACGCAACACTACTAGCACCGACTTCACACTGTCTGCTTCGGGACTCACGCCATCCTAGCCAGTGCACCTCGGCAGCTCCTAGCGTCCTTTTGACCACTGCAGCCACTGCAGCACTTCAGCACGGGTTCCATGGGTACAGCAGGAACGGCAGTGTGCGCCGGAACTGCCCTCGGATCGCCCCGAGCGGCCGAGTCAGCGAGCTCACCAGCGCATAGTACCTCCTGGGATCAGCCGCCATGGCCCGCACTATGGAGTACACCGAGCTGGTTGACCCCGGCGGGTACTTCTTATTGGCCTCGTAGTACCACTTCTGCAGGGTGTACACGTCGTTGTTGTTGTCGCGCGACCACTGCCCGGAAACTACCCACACGGGCAGCCCGTTGCTGCCCGAGTACGCCTTGTTGACCGTTTGGGTTATGGGTGAGGAGGAGAGGGCGTGTGCTCTCAGGCGGATGTTCACGTTGGTCCGCCCATTGTACCTGAAGGCCGGAAGTGGGAGGTTGGAGAGGAGGAGGGAGGGGGGGAAGAAGGGGGGGGACAGAATTAAAGCAAACAGAGTACTGATAGAATGAGGGGCGAGGAGGAGAGGGCGTGCACTCTCAGGTGGATGTTGATGTTGGTCTAGCTGTTGTACCTGGGGGGGGGAAGAGGGTGGTTTGGGGGAGGGGGAAGTGGAGGAGGGGGGGAGGATTGGGGCAAAGGTAGAGCCATTGTGTTTCGAAGATGGGGGAGGAGGAGAGGGCGTGCGCCCGCAGGCGTTCGTTGACGTTGGTCTGACCGTTGTACACAGGTGTGTGTGTGTGCGTGTGTGGTGTGTGTGTGTGTGTGTGTGTGTGCATGTGTGTGTGTGTGTGCGCGTGCGTGCGTGCGTGCATGCGCTCACGCATGCGCACAAGTGTGTGTTCAGTGCCCGCATGCATAACATATCCGCATCTCTCAGATTGCTCAACAACCCCAACCCCCCTTCCCACCTGTACACTTGCACCAGCGCCACGCCGTCAGCACCCAGGGTCGCCCCCAAAGATGGACTGGACGCTGCCCGCATCCATATACGCCACCAGCGCACCTGCACCGCCACTCGCGCGCACGTAGAAAGATTTCACTACAGAGCGCCTCTATATTTAACTTCAAGTTGGTGCATCACCGAGACCAGCGCCAGGGTCGCCCCCAAAGTTGGACTGAACGCTGCACGCATCCTTGTACGCCACCAGCGCACCTGCACGTCGTGACACACGCGTATCACGCGCGCGCGCGCATACAGAGATTCATTCGCGCATCGTGTCTACCGAGCACGCCGAGAACCAACGCCTCCTAAGATGAGCTTGACGCTGCCCGCATGCGGCGTGTATGCCACCAGGGCACCTGCCATGTGACGGCACACGCGCGCGTACAGAGACTAATTTTCAGAGCACACCGAGACCAACGCCTCCTCAAACGGACTGGACGCTGCCCGCACCAGGAGACTTGCCACGTGACGGCACACGCAAGAGTACAGCAGAGCGCGCTTTTAAGACAACTCAATCCGCTTTCCACGCAGCGCTTCAATCCTCGACGCTGCCCATGTGTACTAATAGGGTCCAACCTGATGGTCTAGGAAATTCGTACGAGGAAATCTGCAAGAATGTATTATCTCGGAGAGAAGGAAACGTTTGAGAAAGAAGATGAGGAATGAGAAACAGAAGATGAGGAATGAGAAACAGAAGATGAGGAATGAGAAACAGAAGACGAGGAATGAGAAAGAGAAGACGAGGAATGAGAAACAGAAGATGAGGAATGAGAAACAGCAGATAAGGAATGAGAAAAACAGCCGTGCTTACATTTGAGGAAGCCGGGGAACGGAAGGATGCCGAGCTTTCTCGACGCGCGATGCGTGGGAGTGACTCCGATCTCCAACAGCGAGCGCGTGTCGTTCAGCGCGATGCCGTCCGCGACGTTATGATTCGCCGCGACTCCGACGTCACGACTCGCAACGTCGGGATGATTTGCAGAGGCGGTGGTGGCTCGGGCGAGGATAGCGAGGAGTAGAAGCGGGACGAGGCCTGCCCCGGGGAAAAAAAGAACGCGGCGTAGACGGGAGGATAAGGGATAACGTCTAAGATCGGAGCGTGGGGATGATAGGAACTAAGCGGCTATGCGAGCTTCGCAACCACCGTGATGCCGCAGAGTCGAGAGTTGCAAACACACCACAGGGCTTTCCATCCGATCAATTCGGGAAACGCCCACCTGTGACTGATCGCAGCCTGCGCGCCATGGTTGCAATCGAGTAGACCCGTTGAACCTTGCTGTGGACAGGTGTGTGCGGTAACTAGCGTGTGGTGCGCTGCGTGTGTTGATGGTTTCTTGAACGCGAAATCCTGTTGAGAAATGTATGGTTGGTTGGAACGCGTTTCAGCGAAGGAAGTTGCAAGAAGCGCTAATTGCGGGGCTGCAAAATGGGGCGAAAATGCAACATTTTATGGTGATGGGTGGGGCAATACCGCATAGTACAGGCATCACGAACCGCGTCTCCCAGCAGACCAACAATGCCCTTCATTGCTGACGTGGAGGAGCCTTCTCCCAGCGCGAATGACGGCGCGTGGCTGTGAGGCACCGAATGACGGCCAGCCGACAAATTACATGCTGACGGAGTGTTTTGTCATTGGACAGACCGTCGGTTCTGGCTACCCTAAACGCCAGTTAAAATCAAGATAAAAATTGCATACAATTGAATTTCATTTACCGTATATATAACAAATCGAGTCTAAAATGAAAATCTTTTAACACATCTACATAATATCATAACTCGAGGCTAAGAGTTGCTAGGATTCCATCTAATACTTGCAAAGCAAGCCTATAGTCCAGAAGCTGAATCAACCGTCCATCCATACATCCTCGTTCTGAACCACTCTATTACAGGGGGCTGAACAGGGCTGACGTTTCAAAAAAAGGCACTCTGAGCCAATCCCACCCAAAAAAAAAATAGTCTGAAGGGCCTTCAGCCGAAATTTTTGTAGTCTGAAATGTCAGGGTCCAGAACTCAGCGAGTCTGATTTTTTCAGGGTCCAGGACGTACAACCAGAATCACACACGGGAAACACCCCACAGCGAGAAACATCCCTCCCTCCTACATTTCCCAAAAAATCGGCTAAGTTCCTTGCAGCATTAAAAATCCTCCCACAGCCCGCGCCCCCCCCAACCAGCAACCTTGTCCACCCTCGTTTTGCGTAGTTGTTAAATGTGGGAAACGGGGAAGTTATTCCTAAAAACCGAGGGGGTAAAATCGCACTGCCACGGAAATCGAAACTGAGGAGAGGGAGAATAGAAAATGACGGGGAAATGGGGGAGGGAATCAAAATGGAGGGGAGGGGGGAAGCGAACCGGAGGGGAGGGGGGGGAAGGGGGGGACGGTCGAAACGGAGAGGATGGGGGAAGCGAAACGGAGGGGAAGGGGGGAAGTGATCGAAACGGAGGGGAGGGGGGAAGCGAAAATGGAGGGGAAGGGGGGAATCGAAACGGCAGGGAGGGGGGAAGCTGGGGAATAGGAGGGTGGGAGAAATTTCGCGCCCTTGCAGCGCCCCGGTTGGGAAATCTTGGACGTTAATCGCTATATAACATCGAACGATTGATATACGTCGAAACGATCGCAAACGATCGTGACCGTTACATTTTGTTAGACTTTCAGTTGACCAAACGGGCAACTGGCGAGAATTTCCCTATGTTAAAAATGCGGAATTTACTCTCATTTCAATGCAGTTCAAAAAAAAGTGAAAGTCTCATTCAAAACTTCTGGGTTGTTCCAGGTGTTAGGGAGGACTGTATCTGACAACATGACTTAGTCGAAATTTAGGGTGGGTTGTGGGGTGTGTGGGGGATGTCTCTAGCGTTCCGGGACTTCGCCGAAATTTTAGATGGGTTGTGGGGTGTGGGGTGGGGGTTGTCTCTAGGGTTCGGGGACTTGGCCGAAAATTTTTAGGGGTTGTGGGGTATGTGGGGCATGTCTCTAGCGATTGGGGACTTCACCAAATTTTTCGAAGGTTGGTACTGTACAGGTAATGAGTCAGGGTCTGTACGCGATGTGCTCTGAAAACTCAGTACTGGGTTAGCGACAACTCTGATTTTCTCAGGATCCCTAGAATCGTACTCTGAAGGGATCAGGATTGGGAAAATGCCTTATCTGGAAATTCAGGTTTGGCCAAAAAACAGGTCTGAGATTTCAGACTAATCAGAGTAAATAGTCTGATAAAGTCAGCCCTGGGGCTGAAGCATGGAACCATGGGCACAAGCTGCCCTCTAAGTGCCCCATAAGGAAACATCTGCGTATTCACATTCAGATAAAACAAACCCGGCATAACACTCATCCACCTGAGCAGCCCATACACCGACCCATACTTGCGCAGTACCAGCGTCTTGGCGTTTTTGAACCACATGTCTTGCTCTAAGCCGCCCTTTTTGCGCACCCACATGCCGTCCACGTCCCACACATTGGCCCCGTTCTGCCAGCGCCACCCGCGGTGGATGCTCTGAGTGAGTGGCTCTGAGGGCTCGGTGAGATTGTTCACGCGAATGTGCACCTTCACATGCACATGGGAGCGAAACCTGTGAAGGGGGGGGGGGGAGAGGGGGTGTGGGGGTGACATGTGGAGAGTCACAGGAAGGTGAGCTGAGTGAGTGGCTGGGGGCAGACAAGGGGGGGACACAAGGGAAGCATGTCGGCACAATGCGAGTCTGCACCTTCACATGCACATGCGAGCAGTACCTGTTACGGGGGGGTGTGTGCAATGGGGGGTTGAGCCATGAAAAGGAGAGGGGGAGGGGTGTCACATCGCGAGGAATGGCATGAGAAGGGGTGACGAAGTGGGAAGTAACAATAGCAGGTGCCAAGACCATGGTTGTGGCACGAAGGAAGCATGACAGAGGGATTTGAGAATAGACACAATAAGCAACATGTTGCTTCCTGCCATCCACATTACAGCACACGCACACAGACAGAATTTAAGAGCCCCGCATTAAAGCCAAGAACGCCAAGGCTGTGCACAGCACAGTAGAGTTATGGAGAAATTTAACAGTGCGCTCTTGGGCGCTGGGCTCTAGGGTGCTGGGCTCTAACGTGCTGTGCTCTAGGGTGGTAGGATATAGGGTGAAAAGCTCTAGGGTGCTGGGATACAGGGTACAAAGCTTTTGGGTGCTAGGCTGTCGGAGTGCTGGGGGTGGCTGAGGGTAGCTGGGGTTGGTTGGCAGTGGATGTGCGGTCCTAGACCGTCAGAGGGGCGTCCTAGAGCAGCAGTTGACTCATAATAGACAGAGACACCACAGGTGACTCACAATACACAGACACACTAGAAGCGACCCCGGGTGCTTGCTTCACTCACGCAAAGGCAGAGATGGTGGCTGAGCCAGTGGCGCGCAGATCGCCCTTCCTGCCCGTCATCACCTGCCGCCCGCTCAGACTCGCTGCTAGAGTGCCTGACGTGGGGAGGTTGAATGCGGGGAGGCGTGCAGCCGAACAAACACACAGGGGATCAAAAGAAGAATATTCAGTTGATAGGGGAGCGGGGGTGAGAGCAGCAGAGGGCAGTCAGCAGTAAGGCGGCACTCAGCATTCCAGCAACACTGCACTTCAGTGCAGAGCACTCCACCAGCACTGCAGAGCACTCCACCAGCACTGCAGAGCACTCCACCAGCACTGCAGAGCACTTCACATTGGACTGGCGGTCCACTCGCAGAACCGCCAGTCCACTCGCGGGACCGCCGGTCCACTCGTGGGACCGCTGGTCCACTCACGGGACCGGTGGTCCAGTCACGGGACCGCCGGTCCACTCACCGGACTGCCGGTCCCCTCACCGGACTGCCGGTCCACTCGGGACCGCCGGTCCACATACAGGACGGCAGGTCCAGTCACGTGACCGCCGGTCCACTCACAGGACTGCCGGTTCACTCACTGGATCACCAGTCCACTCACCGGACCACCGGTCCACTCACTGGACCCCTGGCCCACTCACCGGACCTCCGGTCCACTCACAGGACCGCCGGTCCACTCACCGACCCGCCGGTCCACTCACCGGACTGCCGGCCCACTCGGCCGACCGCCGGTTCAATCGCCGGACCGCCGGTCCACTCGCCGGATCGCCGGTCCACTCACCGGACGGCTGGTCCCCTCACCGGAGGCCGGTCCACTCACGGGACCGCCGGTCCACTCACCTTTCCCCCCCTATGCATCCCCCTATGCAACCCCCCTTATGCATCCCACGGCCCGCCCTATGCATCCCCCCCCCCCCCCCCCATGCATCCCCCCCTATGCATCCCCCCCCATGTATCCCCCCCCTATGCATCCCCCCCTATGCATCCCCCCCTATGCATCCCCCCCTTTGCATCCCCCCCTTTGCATCCCCCCTTTGCATCCCCCCCTTTGCATCCCCCCCTTTGCATCCCCCCCTTTGCATCCCCCCCTTTGCATCCCCCCCTTTGCATCCCCCCCTTTGCATCCCCTGAAGCTGGGAGGCGCACAGAGAGACGGGTGAGGTAAGTGGCTCAAGAGCAAAAGCAGGGCTTACATTTGAGGCGGCCGGGCCACGGCAGGAACCAGTCGGATGGTAGCTGGGAGGCGCATGGAGAGACGAGCGCTGCTGCCACGAGGGAGAAGAGGAGAGCTGGGGGGGAGGGGGGAGGGGAAGGGGGAGGGCAGGGAGACGAGGTGTAGGCGTGGGGAGAAAGGGGCGGGAGGGGGAGGAGTGGGGCGGGATCGATCGAGCGAATGGGGAAGCCTGGAGCTGTGAGGAGCAGGGCGAGAAGGGGGGGGGAGGAGGGAGGGAGGGAGGAGTGGGGAGCAAGAAGGAACGGAAGCAACACAGGGAGGAATGCTGCAGGGTGTTTTTGAGAATTCTCAAAAACACGCTGCAGGGAAGCGAGAGGCAAGGAGTGCACGCAGAAAGCGGGAGAGAGGGGGGCGTTGGGAGAGAGGGAGGAAGCAGGCCCCACCTCTTAGTATCACTCCACCTCTTAGTATCACTCCACCTCTTAGTATCACTCCACCTCTAAGTATCACCCACCTCTAAGTATCACCCCCACCTCTAAGTATCACTCACCTCTAAGTAACACCCCCACCTCTAAGTATCACCCCACCTCTAAGTATCACCGGCGCCATTCAGTTCCGGTCGCTGGGTTGCTAGGTTTCTGGGTCGCTGGTTTGCTGGTTTGCTGGGTCGCAGGGTCGGTGGGTTGCTGGTCCCACGTGCACCGCAGTTGAGAATCTTAAGAAAGAAAAAGACTCGAGTCCGAGTCGCTGGTCGTCTGAAGATAAAGCGAAGCTCGTGAAGAAGCGAAGCTCGTGAAGAAGCGAAGCTCGTGAAGAAGCGAAGCTCGTGAAGAAGCGATTGCGCTCGTCGATCTCATCGACGATGGGCTCGTGGCACACGAAAGAATCCGAGTGGTAGTAATGTCGTTCTGAGTCGACTCAAAGCATGGGCCAGTGGCGCATGAAAGAATCCCAGCACAGCAGCAGCACATTCTGGCGGCGGCTCTCGGCTTCGTAGCACGGCTGGCTGCGAGAGAGGGCGCGAGAGGGCGCGGAGACTGGTTTCGAGGCGCCTCTGAACGAGAGAGGCCGCAAGGTAGGCGTGGAGTCTATCGCTGCTGACCAGCAGCATGCTGGAATGACCGCGAGAAGGCGCCAGGTGTCGCGACGAACGGGCCAATCCGGAATTGCCCGGAGTACTCTTGATGCCATCTGGAAATGAGTGGCATCATGCTGGCTTTTTGCGATTCTTTAGGCGCCTCGAATATCCACCCCGAGTACCGTGATGTCTGCTGGAGTGTCTTCCTGCGCCATTTCTCGGAAGAGCTCGCTCTGACGTGGCATGGCGCCTCGGTACAATAACGGGCCCGACGCGGCGCTCGGAACGGTCGGAGGGTCCCATCCGACGTGGCATGCTGGATTCGATCCAAGAATCTCTCTTGAGTGAGTCCGACACGTCGACGCGTTGGAGGGTCGCACGAGAGGAAAGAGCTCGACTGGCAGAGCGGAGGATCATTGGAGGTTACTGTGTCGCCGATACGGTAGGTAGGCTCTCCGCCATCTCGTCAGTGAAGGTACCGAGTGAATCCCGACCGTCGGGCTTCTGTGAACTGTGACAGTGTGCAGTGCTTTTTGTTTTTGTTGTTACTAGGCTTCTTCAACTCCTAGGCTACAGAAAGCTTGACGAAGCAGGCAGCACGTGACGCGCAAGACGCCAAACGGCACGCGGGCAACGCCTCGAGTCGACTGAGCGGGATTCGCGTCGCTGAGTCAAGACTCAAGAGCCAGCAGCTCTCGGGACTCGCCCTGGTGACGCGGATTCACGTCAGCAGCAAGACGCAGCGCTGAGCGGGGATGGGTGGCGAGTGGGGATACACGGAGAGCGGGGATAGATTCAAGAGCACGGCTGGCGGGGCTATGGAGAACTGTTGCTCGCTGGTGGCACGGAGCGGCCTCAAGGGAAAGCGAAGTGCAAGGCGCCATGGCTTCAGTCTCTGGCGCTTGCAACACACTTAAAACGCTTCCTATTAACCGCAATAAGGTGGTAATATTACTGGATTACAGCATGACAAGGGCATGTACTGCTAACAAATATGCAAGGACTTTACACTTATTTACATATATCAAAGGAGGCCTACATAGGGCTAGCAACGTGACCAGGGGATCAAATTGAAGGGCACATCCCGACGAATCTGCCCGCGCAATGCCCCATTGGGATAAGCTGCAGTTTTCACCAACACATAAAATGACCGCCTAAACCACGCCTTATCAATTCTTTTCACCATTTTAAAAACGGATTTTGATGAGCCTGCAGGCACGTACTTCCCAGCAGCATTATACCACACGGATAAATCCCACTCGTCGGGTTTGTCTTCTTGCTGCCAGTTGCCTTCAATGGTCCAGATCGGTGTGCTGCTGCTGCCCACTTGGCCCACATGAATGGACTGCCCCGTGGGCGCCACCAGGGAGGGACTCTCGTAGTGAATGTGCAGCTTCACGTTGGTCTTGCCGCGGTAGCTGGAATTGGGGGGGAGGGGGGAGGGGGGAGGGGGGGACATGGGGAGCAAAAGAGGAGAGAAGACGGAGATGGAAACGAGCAGGAGCATGGGATAACCAGGGAGGGGATCTCGTAGTGCATGTGCAGCTTCACGTTGGTCTTGCCGCAGTAGCTGGGGGGGGAGGTGACACGGGGAGAAGAAGAGAAGAGAGCACGGGGAAGGGAACGAGCAGAAGTACAGAATCAGCTGCGGCCATGGGAACACGGGGGATGTTCCAGAAATGACAGGAGGCACAGGGCTGCGCCATGTTCTTCCGAAGTTAACTCTCGACTTTGCAGTCAGTGGCAGTCGCCGTTTGCACCTCCCACCCAATCCTCCACCCCTTCCCACATCTCCTCACACCTTCTTATGCTTCTTCCCCAGGTCCACACCTGACAGGAGTTCCTCAGTTGCCAGCTCGTCTCTCAGACTCACAAGCTGGGACGGCAGCATCCGCCGCGCCAGCGTGTTTCACGGGGGCTGGCGAGCTGCGTGCGGTGGAGTCTTGTCTCCGCCGCGAATCCCAATAATTACGCATGCCATGCACTCCTCTCCCCCTCTCATTCTCATCAGGATGAATAGACACGACCTCAAGTTGAAGCGCGGGCAAGACGGGGGGGGGGGGGAGTGGGGGAGGAAGGTGTGTGTGGGGGATGATACCCCGTTTGGGAGCACACCCAGGGCGGTGACACGTGTCGCACCTGTAGACCAGGATATCCAGCCGCGCGTCTGCTCCGGGCTCCCCCCCGCCAGGCGCCAGGTCCGCCTCGAGGTTAGCCGTCAGCGCGCCTGCAGGCATGCGCTCACAGGAGAAACGCGGACAGGAGAAATACAGGAGAAACGCGCAGCACGTTCAGCGTCGAACACGTGTGACACCCGCGCAAAAGGCGTCAGAGCACACATCAGCGCACAAACTGAGTCAAGGCGCACATCATCGCACGACTCTCGCGAACGAATGAAAGGTACGAGTTTCGACAGCTCGCCGCGCTGACGCTGTCAGTCAGGGCGCAGCATGCGCGAAAGCGGAACCAGAGCAGCGGAACAAGACAGTGCGGAACTCGGATAGCGGAAACCAAGGGAACGCCGCCAGTAGTACGGGCGACGGCTCAGGCGGCAGCTCACATTTCAGGAGGCCCGGGTACGGCAACACGTAGGGTAGAAGGCGAGCGTGAGTCGTGGCGGGTTTATCTACGAGAAGCAGCAGGACGAGCGGCACGACAACGAGGAGAATTCGCTTGCTTCGGAGAACGGATTGAATGATCAACATCGCGACAGGAGGCATGTGACGGAGAAAACTTACGCGAAATTCGTAGGCTCTACTATAGTAAACAGTACCAGTTCGCGCTTTTATATCAAGCAAGAACGGCTCCAAGCCGTTGTCTTGTGTCATTCAGAACATAATCGCGTGCGTGCACGACGCAACCATCAAGATCGGCTACAATGCCAAGCTCGGTGCAAGAGGCGCCATTGGAAGGCGGGGTGTGATGAAAGCTTTTTTGAGTCGTCTGGAAAAGAATTCGACGAGTTCGTGCCTGACGCAGGGGGGGGGGGGGGGGGGGGGGGGGGGGGGGGTTTGGGGGGGGGAGGCTCCGTCGGTTGGGTTTGGTTTGGTTTGGGACCAATCACCTAAGGAGGTGGAGGTATCAACCGCGCAAAAACGTAATTTAACGCTTTGTAAGCTTAGAAACGCCTTCCTAAACAAATACCAGGGCATAAATGAAACATGTGGAGGTCAGGTTCAGCCTGATGAGGGCGTGTTGTTAAAGGAAATAATGTCACACGAGTTCGTGTCAACACTTGTATTGACCAGAAAATTTGACGGGCAAAATCCTCAATGACACGAAGTAGCGTGACATCTTGTCATTTCGGAATAGATCCTCAGAGAGCGTTTTCTCACCATCAGCCTGGGTGCGGGCTGCCACCGCGGCGCCCCAGCCAAGTCAAGCCCAGTGCAGCAAGGGCGAGGAACAGTGCTCCTGGCCGACGCAGCCGCTTTTGCTCGGAGAGCGAGCCACGTCACCAGGTCACCGACACTTCTGCAGCGTCAGCTCCTGGAGAGACATGGTGAATGAGCTCTCAATAAGTAACGTTTCGTCATCATACAACCACACTCACAAAAGTTCACTAATTGTGAAAGCGCAGCAGCTTGTACGCACCACAAGAAGGCATCGTCGAAGTGCAACTCCTCCTCAAACTACTCGCCCTCTGATTGGTTGGTTGCTTCTTGCAGCTTCTCGACACTTCGCGAAGGTAGTTTCGCCACAGATCTAGGGATTTCGCCAAGCAACTATGGCAGCCCTAGAAGGGCGTAGTTCCATAGGGCCTAGAGTAGTCAAGGGGAAAATTGCTGCCGCGGACTGTTCACGAGACTTTTCATACTTTCGTGGACAAGCCCTACTTTCATGGACACCACATCGAAGTTTTGCTTCTCCCGTGGACTCCGTCAATACTTTCGTGGACTCCTGGCTTACTTCCATGGACACACGCATATTCACAGTTAAAAAGGAGTATACAGCAATGTATAAGTGATTACGGAAAAAAATTGAAATACTCCAGACTATCTGTCCGTCACGAGTAATCAGGAGCTACAGTATTGGAAACCAGTTCTGAAACAGAATCTTGGAGATTTTCTGGGAAGAGTTTTCAGCTGCACTCAAATATGCAGTAAAATTTCAAAACATAATGTATTACAGTCCACGTAATAGAAAAAATTATTATTCAAATCAGAGCTACTCACAAAAAAACATAATATGCACGTGGTTGACAAGCCAGCATCAATCAGCAGTTTTTTTCTCCTTCATAATACATTATTTTATTATTAGGAATTCTGTGAAAAAAATATAGCACAAAAGATATTTTTCATAATCAATTGTTTTTATTTGCATTAGTATGTTTCTTCTTCAAACCTAGAAAAACATATTCCCAAAATTATAAATCTAGAATACTTATGTATTTTTCTCATCTATTATTATTTAAAAATGAAATTTTGTTTTAATAATAATAATACCAAAACCTAAAACCTTCCATTTATATAGCCATGTTTACCAAAATTATTGGTATTAACATATTTCCAATCTTCATTCAAAATGTAAGCCAAATACTAGTTGAAATATTTGGAAATGTCAAAATTTACGGTATTCCCGATTGTTGGTGGGTAGAAATTCCAAACCGTTATCTTGGGACTACTATGATTTTTACTGAGCTCTATTAACCTTGTAACCATAATATCTATCTTTATTCTACAACGTGAATATTTTGTAGCGAGATTTTGCCTACTCAATCTGCAACACTTCTCGTTTGAATAAAACAGCTTCGTCACAGCCATTCAAATGAATTTTGAGGATCGCTTAAAGCGAGAGGTTATAATAGTGACCTCTCTTTCTAGTTGGGCCCAACTAGAAACGACCCAACAGTGAATATGTTTTTGGAGGGGCAGGCAGCAGCCCGCGTTTTTTACCAAGCCGTAGGCCACGAAATGGAATTGCACTTGCGACATTTCGCACTGGCGATAGATTTTACGACCACAGATTCGCGCAGTTAGCATTTCGACAAATCGGAACCCAGCCTCGTTTTTGCCGGAGTAGTGAACTTGAAATTCGAGTTGGGCCCATTTGGTGCAGCTTACAAGCAGTGAGGCCTGGGCGACAGGTGGTGCGCTGTTTGCGATTTTTCCCGAGCCACGTTTCCCATCGTACGTTATGTGTTTCCCGTCAACCAATCAGGTAACTGCCTCTTCTCGCTCAATTTCCCCTGCTCGCATTTCTCGACAGTGTACCCTCTGCCCCGTCGCAGTTTGTCCCTTAGTCGCAAAAACGGACGTCTAGGCCCTTTCAAGTTGGACCCGCCTTCACTATTTTGACTTCTCGCTTTAAGAGTTTCTTTAAACACGTGAAACAGCTAGCGGACTTGGTTGCTTGAAATTACTATAGCTTGCGATCATTTGCGAGGGACTTGATTACGCCATAATGTTGTTTTTTCCTCTCGCTAGCATCTGTACAGTTCTGTATTGTTTTTTTTTTTGGTTTCAAATTCGCATGTGTCCATGGAAGTAAGCCTGGAGTCTACGAAAGCATTGACGGAGTCCACGGGAGAAGCGAAACTTCGATGTGGTGTCCATGAAACTAGGGCTTGTCCACGAAAGTATGAAAAGTTTCGTGGACAGTCCGTGGCAACAAATTTCCAGTAGTCAACTCATCTTGTCGTGAAAGAACAATCTAGGAAGCGAGAAAAAAAACAAAAAACCGCATCTTCGCATTTTGAATTCCTTGTATAGGGTACAATCCACGCACTCTCTCACCGTACGCATTTCAAATACCTTTGGGAGAGTAGAAATCCCCGCATAAGAAATAATGCGAAGTTAGACGTTTTTATCGACACCTAGGTTTAAGTAAAAGAATCCTTCATGTGACATTTTGTTTCGTAGCAGTGAGTGGCAATTGAATCGTCATAACGACAACACAAGCGAAAATGTGGACTGTCCAAGCAGGTTAGCTGGCAAGAAAAAGCTAGCATTCGTAATGGCATGAACCCTAAATTTGCGGCCCTTTTGCGAGTTTAGGGTTGATGTAATCCCAAATGGGTTTGATTGTTTTTGTCAGTTGACCAGAATTATGCATATATAGCCCAATTATTCTAGGATTTTTATTCTACTACAAGTACACCCAGCCTGTGGTATTTTCACATCCAGCATTTTCAGTAGGGGCGCCGCCAAAAGGGTATTCACCCCCCCCCCCCCCGAAAACAACTCCTGAAGTTCAGATCCGGATACCCTTGAAGAACAAATTGAACTTGGATTTCTATACGAAACGCTTACTGCTTGATTTAGTGTTTCTCGAGTCACGAAACTCGACTTCAGCTTTGTTAGAGCTCAAAGTTTTTGCCCGCATAGAGTCTGCCAAGTTTAGGTCGTAGGAACAAGGAGGTACTGCCTACGCACTCATAAATGGTCAAGAAGGAAACAAAAATTAGTATGCCGCTCTGTTTCAGGTTGTAAAATTACCACAGGCTAGGTGTGAGAGCAAAGTTAGACCGGGTGTCAAGCGGTCGGTACAGCCCTACCAGACACTTGGAAGCACATACTGCCTTGGTGACAGGGGAGTTCGAAGCACGCGGCAACATTCCCCGCTCTCAGAAACCCATAAACATTGCGTCTACACATCAATTTTAGCGTCGCACGTATTACAGGATAACTGCCGTGAAACAAGTCGAGCCAGTAAGCATTCATCGTAGCCTCGGTCTACGAGTGCTGAAATGTGAACAAATCTCCTGAGCAAGCCACGCGAAATCATGTAAGCCAAAACAGACAAGCGCAAATAGTGGCGTGATTTGCAGATACGGAGCGACGTGCACCAGGTGACACCGCAAGAAAACAATACACCAAAGGACAACTGGGCGTTGCCTCGCAAGTCGGGAATGACTGTACAGTACTACAGAACAAACACCTGCGCAAATGAACACAGCGGATCTGCGATCCAGCACAACTCGCTTTCCCGCTCATTGTGGTTGTACACAGTGACAGTCGCTTGTATCGCACGCGACTTCGCTAGTGCAACTTGACGACACATTCAGTGCTCCTGGCGTCAAGGGTCGCGTTGTGGCCGTTCGGTCGACCCGTATCCCGGTTCAGCTCAGCATACTTGTACCAACTGCCTAACACACGGTCTAACCTTGCCCTAACTTGGCGCATGCCTTGCTCAGTGGTTACATGGCATTAGATCAGATCGCCGAACTGTTAGGTTTGCGCCGAAAATATCAGCCGCACAGATTGGTTCGACAAGATGCGGCGAAACTGTTGCTAGCTGCTGGTGGAACATTTATCGGGAGGGCTGACCCCGGTGGTGCACGAATACAAGGAAATTCGTATTCCAGGATATCGACCCTCCCAAAGGAATTCGTGACGCGCACCGACGAGGAGTGGGCGGATTGTACCCTCCAGAAGGAATTCAAAACGCGAAGACAGCGATTTCTCGTTTTTCCTCCTAGGAGGCCCTAGGTGTACCTCCTCCAACACTTTCCAGCTCCTTCTAGCTCAGTCAATGGCCTTGCCGTGATGCAAGGTCAGCAGCATTGGCCTAGTGGGCGTGAATCTCTTGGCAGCCGATTCGATCCTCTTCTCTTCAGCGTATTTGGCGTGATCCAGTCATTCGCTGCCAGCTCACGCTCCCTCTAGTCACGCGCTAGCTCTCGAGATGAGGCTCACGCATCGCTGGAAGAAACGACGCGCCATTTCCGCGCATCGCTGGCTTTTCTACTGTTCTTATCTCAAATCAAGAGTGCGAGAGATAGAGAGAGAGAGAGAGAGAGAGAGAGAGAGAGAGAGAGAGAGAGAGAGAGAGAGAGAGAGAGAGAGAGAGAGAGAGAGAGAGAGAGAGAGAGAGAGAGAGAGAGAGAGAGAGAGAGAGAGAGAGAGAGCAGGGGAGGGGTAGGATGGATAAGATTCCGCTCGTCCGACGAGCGCGACTAGCGCGACCCAAAGAGACTTCTACGCCGCGCTCATCCCAAGAGTTCGGCAAGCCTGGGGAGGGTGAATATGGGGTGAGGTGGCTGTACTGTACAGTGTACCAGGAAGAGAGTGGTATTAGGGCAGGAACCAGAGGCAGTGTTACTGGCTGTGAGACGCGCACGGAAAATGGTGGCGATTGGTAGTCAAGGAGAGGATATCTTGACACTTCGTGATAAAGCTGACTCACGTCATTTGCCAAGGATGCGCCAAGAAAACGTTAATCGCAGCAGTGCTGGGATCCAGTTTCCGCCGCTCCCTACTCGCGGGGATCACCGACACGAATGTCGGACACAAAGATAGACACGTGTGCCTTCCGCGCAACGCGTGGACAGCGCGGCTCAGGATTCCGCCTTTTCCCCCTTTCCCGCCTTTTTCTGTCGACTTGGAAAAAGATGGTGACGATCCCCATGTTGTGTGACCCAAACTCCGACTTGACTCGAATTGCCTCGTTTCCGAGTCACACCGCCCGGCGGCGGTCTCCTCGCGCCACACTTGCACCCTCGATGCATGTGTTTCTTTAAAAACATATTTAAAAAATAAAATAAAAAAAATCACCTTGCGGCGGCCCACATTGTACCTTCCGCCCGTGCCAGCGTGGGCGCCAGGCGGGCAGTCCAGAAGTCGGACTTCCCCTAACGCCTAACCCTCAGGTCAGGGGGGCCCACAGAAAGGAAGCCCCGCCTTATGGGTTGGCGCCGAGCCGAACGACGAGGAAGCCCCACAGAAACTTTCTCTCCCTGAAGGAAGGCTTCCTCTTGCCAGCGCCGGTTGCCGCCGGATATCATGCCGCTGGGTTGAACAGAAATGTCATTTCTGGTAGACCAGGACCCCCTATAGATCGATCCATCACTCAACAGCGTGAGTCGAGCTGAGCTCGCGTCCGTCGCTCTCTTACCTGGGACTCGGAGTTCTCGAGGCCAAAACTTCCACTACTGGTCGTAGCACTAGGGCCAAAGCTGCTAGTACCAGCACAATGCCAAACTACTACTACTACTACTACTAGCAGCGCGGCCCGTCCACTGAGCGCGCTTCATTCATAACACACAGTTCGCTCTCCAACAATATTTTCAGTCCGCATCATGCCCCACAGATGCTCCGAGCATGAGAATGGGCACGGGCATGGGCATGAGCCTGACACGCCGCGCCATCACGAGTTGCGCTTCACGCCCAACGGATGCCCCGTCCCTCCCCCCTCCGCCCGCCGGTCTCTCTTCCTGCCCATTAGCACTGGCCCAAGCCCAGTCGTCAGCCCTGGAACCAGCCCCGGCTTTGGGTTCAGCCTGGACGACCTGAGCTCCTCCGAAGCAAAGGGTCAGGCTCGGCCGGGCCTGAGTCGGACTCGCTCTTGCCTAAGTCGAAGCATGATGATGTCAGCAAGCAGTGGCGCGTGCAGCAATAGTAGCAGCCGCCGCAGCCACACGGAGCAGCAGCAGCAACAGAAGCCCCCGCAGCGGCCGCCACCGCAGCAGCATCTGTCACAGCAGCAACAGCATCAACCGCAGCAGCAGCCCTTGCAGCAGCCGCCGCCACTGCAGCATCTGTTGCAGCAGCAGCAGCAGCGTCGCATGCCGCGCCGCCACTATCTGCGGATCATGCCCCACAGATGCTCCGAGCATGAGACACCGTGCCATCACGAGTTGCATTTCACGCCCAACAGATGCCCCGTCCCTCCCCCCTCCGCCCGCCGCTCCCTCTCCCTGCCCATTATCACTGTTCTAAGCCCAGCCGTCAGCCCTGGAACCAGCCCCGGCTCTGGGTTCAGCCTGGACCACCTGAGCTCCTCCGAGGCAAAGGGTCAGGCTCGGCCGGGCCTGAGTCGAACACGCTCGTTCCTCAGTCGAAGCATGATGGTGTCAGCAAGCAGTGGCGCCTGCAGCAATAGCAGCCGCCGCAGCAACAATGACGAGGAGCAGCAGCAGCAGCAGCAGCAGCAGCAGCAGCAGCAGCAGCAGCAGCAGCAGCAGCAGCAGCAGCCAGAGCAGCAGCAGCAGCAGCAGCAGCAGCAGCCAGCAGCAGCAGCAGCAGCAGCAGCACAGCAGCAGCAGCAGCAGCAGCAGCAAGCAGCAGCAGCAGCAGCAGCAGCAGCAGCAGCAGCAGCAGCAGCAGCAGCAGCCAGCAGCAGCGCAGCAGCAGCAGCAGCAGCAGCAGCCAGCAGCAGCAGCAGCACAGCAGCAGCAGCAGCAGCAGCAGCAGCAGCCAGCAGCAGCAGCAGCAGCGCAGCAGCAGCAGCAGCAGCCAGCAGCAGCAGCAGCAGCAGCAGCAGCAGCCAGCAGCAGCAGCAGCGCAGCAGCAGCAGCAGCAGCGCAGCAGCAGCAGCAGCAGCAGCAGCAGCAGCAGCCAGCAGCAGCAGCAGCAGCAGCAGCAGCAGCAGCAGCAGCAGCAAGGCAGCAGCAGCAGCAGCAGCAGCAGCAGCAGCAGCAGCAGCAGCGCAGCAGCAGCAGCAGCAGCAGCCAGCAGCAGCAGCAGCAGAGCAGCAGCAGCAGCAGCAGCAGCAGCAGCAGCAGCAGCAGCCAGCAGCAGCAGAGCAGCAGCAGCAGCAGCAGCAGCAGCAGAGCAGCAGCAGCAGCAGCAGCAGCCAGCAGCAGCAGCAGCAGCAGCCAGCAGCAGCAGCAGCAGCAGCAGCAGCAGCGCAGCAGCAGCAGCAGCAGCAGCAGCAGCACAGCAGGCAGCAGCAGCAGCAGCAGCAGCAGCACAGCAGCAGCAGCAGCAGCAGCAGCAGCAGCAGCCAGCAGCAGCAGCAGCAGCAGCAGCAAGCAGCAGCAGCAGCAGCAGCAGCAGCAGCAGCAAGCAGCAGCAGCAGCAGCAGCAGCAGCAGCAGCAGCAGCAGCAGCAGCAGCAGCAGCAGCAGCAGCAGCAGCAGCAGCAGCAGCAGCAGCAGCAGCAGCCAGCAGCAGCAGCAGCAGCAGCAGCAGCAGCAGCAGCAGCAGCAGCAGCAGCAGCAGCAGCAGCAGCAGCAGCAGCAGCAGCAGCAGCAGCAGCAGCAGCAGCAGCAGCAGCAGCAGCAGCAGCAGCAGCAGCCAGCAGCAGCAGCAGCAGCAGCAGCAGCAGCAGCAGCAGCAGCAGCAGCAGCAGCCAGCAGCAGCAGCAGCAGCAGCAGCAGCAGCAGCAGCAGCAGCAGGGGGGAGGCAGCAGGCAGCAGCAGGCAGCAGCAGCAGCAGCAGCAGCAGCAGCAGCAGCAGCAGCAGCAGCAGCAGCAGCAGGGAGGGCAGGCAGCAGGCGGGGGGGGGGGGGGGGAGCAGCAGCAGCAGCAGCAGGCGAGGGCAGCCAGCAGCAGAGGCAGCAGCAGCAGCAGCAGCAGCAGCAGCAGCAGGCAGCAGCAGCAGAAGCAGCAGCAGCAGCAGCAGCAGCAGCAGCAGGCAGCAGCAGCAGCAGCAGCAAGCAGCAGCAGCAGCAGCCAGCAGCAGCAGCAGCAGCAGGCAGCAGCAGCAGCAGCAGCAGCAAGCAGCAGCAGGCAGCAGCCAGCAGCAGCAGCAGGGCAGCAGCAGCAGCAGCAGCAGCAGCAGCAAGCAGCAGCAGCAGCAGCAGCAGCCAGCAGCAGCAGCATCAGTCCGCAGCAGGATCATCAGCAGCGGTGGCAGCAGCGGCCGCCACCACAGCAGCATCACTCGCAACAGCAGCAGCGTTGCATGCCACGCCGTCACTATCTGCGCATTATGCCCCACAGATGCTCCGAGCCTGAGCCTGAGAATGACATGCCATGCCATCACGAGTTGCGCTTCACGCCCACCGGATGCCCCGTCCCTCCCCCTTCCGCCTGCCACTCCCTCTCCCATCCCACCTCCACCTGCACTGCCTCCCTGCCTCGCCCTGGCCTCGCGCTCAAATCCCCTACCTCGTCCGTTCATTCCTCTCTGTCCACCACCCCTCCGTTCACCTCCTCCTCTCCATTCACCACCTCCCCTTCTACTTCTGCCGACCCTGCTGCTGCTCCGGCCTCTTTTCATTCGGCCTCCGTTTACCCCACTCATTCCTCTCCTCCTTTCACCGCCTTTAACCGATCCCCGCCCCCCGCCTCTGCGCTCGCGGCTGCTGCCTCTGCAACTTTCCAATCCTCCCCGTGCCATTTCCCCCTCGCTCCCCTACCTTCCCCTCCACTCGCTCTTCCCACGCCCATCCTTCACCATCAATCGCTGCATTTCCCAGGCGTATGCTCGTCCGGCAACACACCGAACCTACCCTGCGCCCGAACCTGTCCCATAGCACTGGCCCAAACCGCGCTGTTAGCCTTGGAACCAGCCCAGGATACAGCTCTGGCTTCAACCCAGGCCAGCTGAGCTTTCCCGAACCAAAGGGTCAAGCTCGGCCGGACCTGATTCGGACACGCTCTTGCCTAAGTCGGAGCAGGTCTGGTTGCAGTAACAACTCAGCAGGGGAAACGCCAACGCACGTTCGGCGCGTGTCTTTCAACAGCCTTGTGCGCGTGAGGTGGTTCATTGACTCCCCCCCTCATGCTGACAGCTGCTGCTGCAGCGGCAATAATGGGTGGCGCTCTGATGCTCTCAACCGACACCGGAGCTGCAGCGAGCGCAGCGCCTGCAACAACAGCAGCCACCGCAGCCACAGCGAGCAGCAGCAGCCGCAGCAGACCGGACACCATGACGCCTATTCCACCCCACCTGCATCGTTCACCACCACGGGTCACCCTCCAGTCCCCATCCGCTCTTTCTCCTCCTCCCCCTCCTCTCAGCTCCCCTCCTTCCCCTCTGTCCCTCCCGCCGTTGACCCCTATTTCCATGTCAAGCCACACCCCCCGCCTCCCCGCAATTCCTCCCATCCCTCCTCCCTCCCCTCGGTGTCCCCTCCCTCACCCTCCTCCCCCCTTTCCCCCCCCTGGCCTGCTTCCCCCCCTCCCCACGCCCGCACTGGCATGCCCCCCTCCCCCGCGGCCAGAAGGCTGATGTCGCAGCTGAGAGCAGCGGCAGCCAGCAGCAGCAGATTGGACCCCCTGTCTCCTTCATTGCCGCATGCTTCAACTGTCACCCTCCTCCCTCCGTACACTCCCCCTATTCCTCCGCCGCCCCCTCCCCCCTTTGCCCCCCATCCCTCCCTCCCCACGGGCGCACTGGCATGCCCCCCTACCGTGCGGCCCGAAGGCTGATGGCGCAGCTGAGAGCAGCGGCAGCAGCAAGGTAGGGCAGGGTGGAGGCTGTGGGCGCGGCGTGAGTCGTTGCATACAAAACGTCCTGTTTGGTGCATATAGTGAATATGGTTTGACTGCCGCTTCCTATTGTACGCAAATGGTAAATCTGAGCAAGTTTGAAACTGGTACCGGTACGTCAGCCACAGTTCGCCCCCCAATGAAGGACGTAGGTTTCGAAGGTAATAGAATAGACCTCACAACACCACCACCGAGGAACGTCAGAGTGGTACTGTGTGAGCCTCACGTTGATGGAACAACGCAAAAACTTTCTGCTTCATTCTCCTGAGATAATCTACCCCTGTGACTTGGTGTGAGGTTATAAGGCGTTTGTCGTACAGGTACAGATGTGTGAGCTGCGCGAAACATTTAGATCTAACAAGCATCAGGTTTGGACTCTTAGAGATTCTGACAATAGCGAGGCATGCTGTGTCAGCAGCACCACTGTTGGAGAAGTTCATGCATGTGCATGCCTGTGCTGTACAAACAGTGTACAGCTGTAACGCAAAGATCAAGGCAACTGCCAGCGCAAGACCGCTGGAGCCGCAACAAGTCCAAGGCTGGGAGAGAGCAGTCGGATCGGATCGGATCCGACCGATCCCAGCCTCCAATTGGGAAAGAATTGCATGGCAAATGTGTACGAAGTTTGCAAACGCCAGATGTTGACGATGTGAGATTGCGGTTCCGCATGGTTTTCGCGAGTTTCGTCGCGATTCGCTAGTTTTCATCAGGGGGCGATGGGGTGAGGCGACAACAGCATCTCTTCCTCTGGATTTGAACTTCCTCAGTAGCCATGGATTTCCCTGGGCCATTCATGATTTTCAGTCGCCTTCTGAATGATTTCCGCATGGAAGAACAAATGCACACGTTGAATTCTTCCCCCTAACGGCGTGGAACATACGGTTTAAAACGAGTTTACCCAGAGGCGCAGCGGAATGCGTTTACAATCTCTAGGGTAATTTCCGTCCGCAGACGTTACAGCACTGGAGCATGCAGGGAGCACGCAGCGGGTGAGAGGGGAGGCCCGTGCCACCTTCAGTCACGACAGGAGTCAGGACGCACCTGATGCAGTCGACTTTCTGTCAAGGGGAGGGAGTTCTATGGCCAGGGGAGTAGCCTGAGACCCGATACTCGTGCTGCCGTTCGAGATAAACCGGGCCTAGTAGTGATGAGCTGCGAATTACCGAGTCAACTGGAGCCTAAACCCTCGAAGGATCAGAGTACGTTGCGTCCTTCGCGCTCAGCAGCACCGCCTCCTCCTCAATGCCGTGCCACTTCCGCCGGAGGAATCGGCCATTCCGCGCGCTTCAGCAGGGCCCGCTCGGCTTATTCCCTGCGGAAAATGCATCTCCGCGCCTCCGCTTCTTCCGCGCCTCTTCCACTCATCCGACTTCGTCGTCTCGCGGCAGTGGCAGGTGATAATCGCGACTAGCGATGGCAGATCAGTTCAGCAAAGGCCTTCCGCTGCAGCGCCGCGAGCACGTCAGAAGCGAGCGAGCCAGGCAAAAGGGGCCGCGTGCTTCCATGCCACTTCTGGACCTCGCGCCCCCCCTCAACTCGCCTCGATCCTTCGCGCCCTCCTCCCCATGAGGTGACGCACATGAGGTGAAGCACATGAGGTGATGCACATAAGGTGATGCAAATGAGGTGACGCACATGAGGTGATGCACATGAGGAGAAGCACATGAGGTGATGCACATGAGGTGATGCACATGAGGTGAAGCACATGAGGTGACACAAATATGGTGACGCATATGAGGTGACGTACATGAGGTGACGCACATGACGTGACGCACATGAGGTGACACACATGAGGTGATGCCCATGAGGTGATGCACATGCGGCGACGCACATGAGGTGATCCAAATGAGGTGACGCACATAAGGTGGCGCACATAAGGTGATGTACATGAGGTGATGCCCATGAGGTAAAGCACATAAGGAGACGCACATGAGGTGAAGCACATGAGGTGACGCACATGACGCGATGCACATGAGGTGAAGCACATGAGGTGAAGTACATGGGGTGACGCACATGAGGTGACGCACATGAGGTGACGCACATGAGGTGATGCCCATGAGGTGATGCCCATGAAGTGACGCACATGAGGTGATGCACATGAGGTGATGCACATGAGGTGATGCACATGAGGTGACGCACATGAGGTGATGCACATGAGATGATGCACATGAGATGATGCACATGAGGTGATGCACATGAGGTGACGCACATGAGGTGATGCACATGAGGTGAAGCACATGAGGTGACGCACATGAGGTGACGCTCATGAGGTGATGCACATGAGGTGAAGCACATGAGGTGACGCACATAAGGTGACGCACATGAAGTGATGCACATGAAGTGATGCACATGAGGTGACGCACATGAGGTGACGCACATGAGGTGATGCACATAAGGTGAAGCACATGAGGTGACGGACATAAGGTGACGCACATGAGGTGACGCTCATGAGGTGATGCACATGAGGTGAAGCACATGAGGTGACGCACATAAGGTGACGCACATGAAGTGATGCACACGAGGTGATGCACATGAGGTGATGCACATGAGGTGACGCACATGAGGTCATACACATGAGGTGAAGCACATGAGGTGACGCACATAAGGTGACGCACATGAAGTGATGCACATGAGGTGATGCACATGAGGTGATGCACATGAGGTGATGCACATGAGGTGACGGACATGAGGTGATGCACATCAATGATGCACATGAGATGATGCACATGAGGTGACGCAAGTGAGGTGATGCACATGAGGTGACGCACATGTGGTGAAGCACAGAGGTGATGCGCATGAGGTGACGCACATGAGGTGACACACATGTGGTGATGCACATGAGGTGATGCACATAAGGAGACGCACGTGAGGTGATGCACATGAGGTGATGCACAGGAGGTGATGCACATGAGGTGACGCACATGAGGTGATGCACATGAGGTGATCCACATGAGGTGACGCACATGTGGTGAAGCACATGAGGTGATGCGAGGTGACGCACATGAGGTGAAGCACATGAGGTGATGCAAATAAGGTGACGCGCATGAGGTGATGCACATGAGGTGAAGCACATGAGGTGATGCACATGAGGTGATGCACATGAGGTGATCCATATAAGGTCACGCACATGAGGTGATGCACGTGAGGTGAAGCACATGAGGTGACGCACATGAGGTGAAGCACATGAGGTGATGCACATAGGGTGATGCAAATGAGGTGACACACATGAGGTGATGCACATGAGGAGAAGCACATGAGGTGATGCACATGAGGTGATGCACATGAGGTGAAGCACATGAGGTGACGCAAATATGGTGACGCACATGAGGTGACGCACATGAGGTGATGCCCATGAGGTGATGCCCATGAAGTGACCCACATGAGGTGATGCACATGAGGTGATGCACATGAGGTGATGCACATGAGATGATGCACATGAGGTGATGCACAAGAGGCGACGCACATGAGGTGACGCACATGAGGTGATGCACATGAGGTGAAGCACATGAGGTGATGCACATGAGGTGATGCACATGAGGTGACGGACATGAGGTGATGCACATCAATGATGAACATGAGGTGACGCACATGAGGTGACGCAAATGAGGTGATGCACATGAGGTGACGCACATGTGGTGAAGCACATCAGGTGATGTACAAGAGGCGACGCACATGAGGTGACACAGATGAGGTGATGCACATGAGGTGATGCACATAAGGAGACGCACGTGAGGTGATGCACATGAGATGATGCACATGAGGTGATGCACATGAGGTGATGCACATGAGATGATGCACATGGGGTGATGCACATGAGGTGACGCACATGAGGTGACGCACATGAGGTGATGCACATGAGGTTATGTACATGACGTGACGCGCATGAGGTGATGCACATAAATGATGCACACGAGGTGACGCACTTGAGGTGATGCAAATGAGGTGACGCACATGAGGTGACGCACATGTGGTGACGCACATGAGGTGATGCACATGAGGTGATGCACATGAGGTAAAGCACATGAGGTGACGCACATGAGGTGAAGCACATGAGGTGACGCACATGAGGTGAAGCACATGAGGTGATGCACATGAGGTGATGCATATGAGGTGAAGCACATGAGGTGAAGCACATGAGGTGACGCACATAAGGTGACGCACATGACGTGACACACATGAGGTGAAGCACATGCGGTGATGCCCATGAGGTGACGCACATGACATGACGCACATGAGGTGACGCATATGAGGTGATG